CGCCCTGCTGCTGCTCTCTGCTGCTCTTATCTTTCTTCACATTCTCTATATACTCTCGCAGAGAGGAAAAACGGAGAGAAAGAAAAAAAACCCTCACAAAGTCAACTCTAACAAATGCAGTTTTTTCTCTCAATCTCTCTTGTTGTTCGCCGATAGAGGAAAAGAGGGCACGATTTTACAAAAGCAGGCGATGTTACACGAAAAGTCTCTCACGGCCAGGTGCTAACAGCGGCGATCATTGCAGCTTATCAGCGTGGCCTTGGAACTTTTCTTGCGCTGCTTCTACCCCCGGGGGTGCCTTTGTTCTCTGCACCCACCTCGCTCCCCCATGTCCCCCTGGTTCGGGTGGAAACCAATCTAAATTTGGCTTCTTTTCTTCCAGGGTGGTAAAGATGGAACTTAAATAAGATTGTAATGCTAAAAGTGACTCCAAAAATGAAGCAAATATTTCTGGATGTATCACATCCTGCCATAACTGAACAGATTCTGTTCGTTGTTTCAGCGTTCGCTGTGGAACTTTTTTTTTCTCATTGTTTTCTTCTCTTTGACTCTCCCTCCCTCTCTCCACGGGCAGCATAGATAGGAGATAGCTTGCCCAGCAGTGGGAGGTGAAGGCATCTGCCGCTGTGACGCAGGTAGAATTACGGAGCTCACAGCCTAGGTATATCTTGCTTTTCTGTCTTTTAAGGTATTAATTACAATCTGCCAAGTTCAACCGAGAGACACAGTGTCCTTGCTCTTTTCCGTAATTGCCGTTTCCCATATCAGAGCCGATATATCAGTCCGTTCTTTCACTGCAAAAAGCAGTGTGGGCACTGCAAATGCCCATGACAATTAGCCCATATAATGAGCATATCCAGGTCCTTTTCCTGGGCTGCTTCGCCTCGTTTAACGAGGATGCAGAGAAGCAGTTTATCTGCCGCTGCAAATTCCACATCCATGCTGACGGCTACCCGCAAGGGGGAAGGTTGCGACCCTTCTACTACACCCTTGCCTGCCTGGGCCACCCCCAGCAGCCTGACTTTCCACGTCCTACCGCTCAGCGTCTCACCATGCTCAGGCTGCCTATCTGGTGCCGATCCAAGCCCGCGACGTCTAATGCCTAGATCCACTCCGCGGACTCCAAAGCCCCTCTGCCTGCAGGGGTGTCCTTGGTCGGAGCGCCAGATGTTGAAAGCCCCCCGAGCTGTTCACCAGTCTTCACAGAAGTAATTGTGAATGCCGTTTATTTCTATCTTTAGCACACCTTTTATAGGGTTCTACAGGGTCTGCGGGCAGAGCAAGCTACTATTGGCTAGTACACACAAGTTTACATTTTTTCTCCTACACACAAGGATATTGTTTTGCTTTACTCTCTCTTCTGCATGAAGGTTTCAAGGACTTTAGCCTTTAATATCATGACTTATTTCAAAGGCTGGTTTGTGCATACAGGCCTTTACTAATATATAAAATATAGCAACAGAGGTGTATTGCATAAACTTAGCAAACCAGGAAACATTGCTTTCAATTTTGAATTCTTAAAGGTAGCTTTAAGCCTTGGAGGGCAATGACCTTTTAGCCATAATTCTAATTTCAAATTGATTACTATTTCCAAGGAATTTAATATCCTGTGTAATTACTTATATAGAGCACTGCACAACTATAGTGAAGATGAGTATGGACAGAGATGAATACAGCTATTCATGTAGTGTCTCAGTTGAATTATAAACACATGCTATTCTCCTTTGTCTTTTCCTCTTTTGTCTGTAAAATCTGCATCCAACACTAATTTGGTTTTTATTTTTTTAATTATTTCTTCTAACGCCTGTAGAGGAGGAACATGTTTGGTGTGCACATATTACTAAATTACTTTTATATTTATGTATATAAATTAAACAGAGGGTCTGTGACATCTTGTCATAGATTTTAATTTTCCAAAGAAAGCAGCAAGATATTTTTCATATTTACAATTTAAATAGTAACAGTGTAACCAAAGTCTTGGTTTGTTCTATAGTCTTGATAGTCTCTTCAGAAAGAATACAAGCAGTATCCAGAATTACTTGCCCACAGCTGGTTGTACAGTATGTCAAACCATTTTCATTTTAAATAAAATATACAGCATATTCAGCAGCATATTCTTATGAAGGAGTGTTACTGTAATAGGTGCAAAATACTCCTTACTTGTTCTACAAACACATACCTTTGAACTTTGAAACACAATCTGTACATCCCAAAGGGAGGAGTTATTTTTGGAATTTAAAAGAAATGCCATAAAATGTCTCCATTTTGTGAATTTTCTGATCTTTAAACTCATCTTTTCCTAACCATGTTTTCCAAGTTTTGAAAGACATGATGTTCACAAATTTTTTTACCTGGAGTTTGAATAGTTTTTGGTATATTAGAACATGATGGAAGTATCACTTTCTGTTTTCTTGAGCTTACAGACATCCTAATTTTGTAGAGAAAATAATTATTTTTCCTTGTCATCATTCATTTGTCAGACAGGTCAGCAGATACTTTATGTAAGTTTTCTCTTGTTACTCTTCTCCAGTATTACTGACCTGGAAAGGACACCTTGTTGCTGATGTGAGAGCTTTATCTTACAAATTACTGCGCCAGTGTATTTGTACTTGGCCCTCCTACTTTGTGTGTTCAACCTCTCTTAAAATATCTATGAGAATTAGAACATGATGTGGCTCACAGGGATGATCCTGAGCTGTCATCTTTTTCTTTTGAGAGAAGCACATGAAAGATTGTATGTTTTAGTGATACTGTGGAAATGCTTAATTCTGATATTGGATGAAGCAGCTGGGCTCAACTTCTCTCGGGCTTAGGCTTCTCTCACACACTGTATTCTTTATATGCTGAGGTGGTAGAGTAATAGAGAATAATGTTCCAAATTCACAGGCTTGTCAATGTGCTACATGTTTTGACCATTAAGAATTTAATATGAAACAATCAGTGAAAATGAAAGTTCCAATTTAAGAATTGTGTATTTCTGACTTTGTAGACTAGTATTAGCTAAATTTCAAGGCTATCCACACTATGCTTAAAAAAGCTGTATCGATATGTAAAGTGAGGTTTTAAATGAGAAACACTATTATGGTGGGATACAGTAGAAATACAGAAACTTCTGGATTAGAGACCTCCATCACATTCTGTGCTTCCTTTCAAGGAAAGCAGCATCTTACAGAGGTGCACTATGAGAGAATGTTCATTTCTGCAAGGCCTTATCCTGAAAAGTGCAGCTGGAAAAATTACAATAGCTTCTTATTACAAATAAGGTGTTACTTTAAAAACATGGAAGTGGTATGAGTACAAAAGGGACTTCTCTAGAAGTGTAGATAAATACAAAAATTGGCTTCTCCAGAAGTGTAATAGATGGAGAGAATACATGCCAGTATGGGAATTAGTCCAGCTTTAGGGAAAAACAGAAGAAATGCACAGGAAAACCATTCTGTGCATGTGTCTACATGTGGGTGGTGGTGCAGATTTGTAATCTGTTCACATATGTATATGTAAAGGCATAGCAATACATTTTTATGTGAGCATGTGTATAAATAGAAATAGAAGCACGTATTGTAAAGTATTTGCATAGAAAAGTTACACTGAGGGGCACAAGAAAATATAATATGGATTAAAAAAAACCAAGCACTGACTGAGGATTTTTTTTTATTCATTTTATGTATGCTGTCAGAATTTGAATTAGCTAGCAACATCCTCAGAAAAGACCTGGGGCTACTGCAAACATGTCAGTGCAGATGTCTGCTCAATGTTCACTTGAGCAGGGATGGTCAAAAAGAATAATAGGATTTTTAGGTTGTATTGAAGAAAAGATAGAAAACATTGTATTCTGTAGTCTTGTATGAATATGTGTATTATTATTATTAGTAGTAGTAATAATAATAATAATAATAATGATAATGATAATAATAATAATAACACTAATGTGTAGTATATCTATGTCTTGTGTATATTTGATTTTGCCAATATTGATTTGAAAGGGTCTGGGAAAGTGCAGTGAAGATTATAAGAGATTACCTCTGTTTGTGAGAAGAGCTTTAAAGACATGACTAATAGAAGATATCATAAAAGTATACAAAGTTAAGACAGTACATTTAAAATTCAGGATTTAATATTCATCAAGCTTTTACTTTTAAACTACAATGCATGGGAAAATAGCTCATTTAAAGCAATGTAAGAAAATATTTGTGTTTAGTATGTGGCAAAGTTGTGCAATTCATAGCGAAATCATCTGGAAAGAGGTTTTGTAACAATTTTAAAGAGTTCCTCCCCCTTCTCCTCCCAGGCTCTTCAAGAATAAGTAGAAGTAAATAAAGTAGAAAATAAATTGGAAAAAATGCTTAAGCACACAGTCCTCTTAATCTGTGAGACAATCACCTGTACACTGTTCCCAGGTATTGTTTGAATCCTCAGAAAATTATCACTATTTCAAATGGAATATTTCACCTGATGAAGCAGCAGCCACCTTGGACACTCAATGCCTTTCTACATACTCCAGGACATGTCTGGAGAGCTGCCATTGTTATTACAGCAGAGGGCAATCTTTAAATAGAATCATGTTGGTAATGATTTAAATTTCATTTCTAGGGTGCATGAACATTCATCCTCTTCAGGAAGTGATTAGATCATAAAATATGTTTAAGCCAATTAATATAATTGTTGTTATTATCCAATAGCATGTAGTAGGTATTTCTGCTAGCTGGTGAAGAAAAAAAAATTACAAATCCCTATCTGCTTTGAAACCATCTTTCTGATTTTTAGTGCCATATGTAAAGGTTAGTATAATTTGAAAGCCTTCTCTTGCTCCAGTGTTGTCCCTGTCTCATGTTTATTGCCCATAAGTAAATGTTTTTGACCTCATGGTGAAGCATTCTATTTTGACTTTGTTACTGATCCGGCCTGCAGACTTCCATATAGACTTCCATGTAGACTTCATCTTACTTTGATCATGCTTTTGCAAATTGTTTTGCTTTATATTAATTTTTTGTTGTCTCCAGGTGTTTCACTGTGTACATTTTGAGTGCCCAGCACAAAACAGTACCCACAAGGACGAGAGTAGTAAGGAAGTAGCAGCAACAGAGCTGGAGACTGGTGGGCAGTAGCTTGTTTCTTTTCCTGTTGGAGCTGCAAGCACCTGGTTCCCTGCATTCCCCTCCTGGATCCACCTCACATCCTCATGTTCATCAACGATAAAGTAGATTGAAAGGCAGCTTTTGCAGCCCCACTGACATTCTGCAAAATTATTCAGAACCTTCTTGTGCTGGCACCTTTTCTTTCTTTGTGAATGAAGGGGACCATGCCTGAAAGCTGTAAGTATTGAAATGAAAAAGGCTTATTCCCAAGGACATGAAGAGACTGTTTCACTCTTCCTTGATATGTTCAAATCAGGATGGTCTCCAAGGGGGGAGAAAATAGGTCTTCAATCTTCATCAAGTACCCCACTAACACCCTACCTCTCTAATCTAACCAAGGCAAGGGAAAAAGGAAGGAAATAAAAGGCAAAGCTACAAATCTAAAATTATTCAAGCAGAATGGAAATCATACAAAATAAGTATTTGTTCCCTGGAGGCTTTTATTAGCAAAAAAAATGTTTATGGAACACAACAGTCCAGAATATATTTTATTATTTAGGTAATTCTCCATTCATATTACCTTGTAACTAGTAATCTGTTTTCTGAATCATTTTGATTCTGTATTCCACTTAATTTCTTATTTTTGGCTATAGAAAATGTTGTACAGTAGATTAAGGAAGTATCAGACATGTTTACCTGCTGAGATGCAAATTCTCTCATTCATCAGTGGGATGACAAGAAAAGCGTTCATGATATCAACAAACTAATTAATGTATCTGTGTTAATATTGACCTTAGTTGACTTTTCAGAGTATAAAATTGTCATTTCCTACATTCAAAAGGAAGTTTCTAAATGAAACATCTGTCTTGAAGAAAATTATATTTTTTCACTCTTGGAGATGATTATTTAAATTTTGTCTGCCTAAGACAACTTGCAACAGAACATCAAAAATGTTCAGTTTAGAAAAGTGAAACTCCATCTGGTCACTGACAAACAGTAGTTCAAATTCCAAAAGAAGAATTCACAGATAATTTACATTTGTCCAATAAGAGTTGTTTTACAGTCTGAAGCTAAAAATTCAAAGACTGTCTATGCATTATCATTTCTCATGATCTTCATAAAATGTGATGTTTCTGCACCACATTGTAAAAGATCTGGTTCTTAATTTACAGTCACAGAATTTGTTATCCATCTATAATGTCTGGATTACACTGCCTGCTACTTCACTTATTCTCTTTTCACACTGATGATGATGTAGTCTTTTACTCTCCAGATCTATAAGACTTTTAGGAAGAACTCCATGTCAGTCTTTCAGTATGGAATAAAGAGATATTGTATTAAGACAAATGCTGATGTAATTGGCAAAATTGATTAGGATGCTTCTTCCTCCTCACAAAGTATATGATATTGGAAATGTCAGCAAACCAGTTTTATGAACTTGGAATTTCCTGTGGTGATAAATAACCTTGTCAGAAGAAAACAAAGCTAGTGCAGGATAAGTACGGTTTTCCTTTACATAACCACAATGACAAAATGAGTTAAATCAACATAGCAAATTGTATGTTAATTTATCACACTACTTAATTTGAAATAATTTTCCTGTTGGATACTGGTTGTGCTAAACCCAAGAAGAAATATAATCAGTGGTAGCAATGAATCAGAGGATATTTAAAATAAGAGAAGCATCCCCTTTCTTTAAAATAAAATTGATTAGGCTTTATCGATAATATTATAGTTTTTTTCATTGTCAAATTAGTTTTGTTCTGACATTTGCATACAGTTCCCTCCCTTCCCACTGCCATATTCTGACTTGTGAATGTCTGTTGGTGAAGATGGTTGCCCACTGTGCTGTATAAAGGTTGTAATTCATGTGCCACAGCTGCCTTAGACAGTGCGGAGTTCTAAGGCAGGATTCTGCTTGTGCCAGCCACTTCCCCCTAGTCTGCTGGGCTGATTACCTTATGGCTTAACAGCCTTTGGAATATGGAAGAATTAAGACCATCTATTGAGGACACCACTGTAATGTTTATGTATAAGTCAAAAAAGTTGTATTTTTTTTCCCTTTAAAAGCAGGAAAACTTCTTCAGTTGCAATCCATGCTGGAACTGCTGAGATGCCTAGAGCATATCTTGCTTTTGGTAGATAAGTCCTTGCATGGCAGTGGTGGTATTTCTTTGCAGTTCCATCAAACAAGTCTGCTTTTCTCAAACTGTGGGTAAGCAAAGAGCATAACTTCCTAGCTGTTACTATTTAGTAGCCACCCTTGTAGAGAATGTAAAAAAAACTAAAATAAAAAAGGTTGTGCCATCTGTTCTGAGCCTAGGCTCTCAGAGAAAGAATGGAATTTTTCCATCTGTAATCTTTGATGTGCACCATTAATTTTTATGATACAAGTAAGTCCTGTAGAATATAACCTATGGAACATCTCTTTGATCTTGTCTTGTAACTCACTGTGGAACAGAAATGTCTCTTTATTTCCCATGATATTCACTCTCTCCCAAAAATCTGGATGAACATATCTGAGATTCCCAAAGTAAAAACTCTGAGGTTCTACAGAGCCTTCAGTTTCCCACCCCCATAAAACAATACAAAGAAAAAACAACTTTGCATTGTCCCTTCACGCAGTTGAATAGCAATTTTTTGTATTAAACTTCTCAGTCACAATGGCCTTCTCAGAGTCTTTATTTTATTTAGAGTTGCTCTGAGAACCTGTCATCAAGGTGAGTCCAGTGAGCTTCCAGGCTTTTAAGGCAAGGCCTGACACAAGCCCTTTACACTTTCAACCTTTACCCTCTTTATTTAAAGATATAATGTTTACAGAGAGCTGAACTCCACTGGGCCTTCTAATATTGCCCACCAACAAACACCCCTAACACCTGTATTGCCTAGAAGAGGTCTCTTGTCTTAAACATTGTGTCAGCAATGTATTAGTAGTGACAAAGGAGGATACAATGCAGAACTGATTTGTGGTTTTGTGTGCATGTTCTCATTCTTTCTAATTATTGTCGGTATTTATTGACTCCCAAGTTCAGATGAAACTTCCTCTGAAGTTTTGTGGAGTTTTTTTCCCTTTTCTTTTTCATCTTTGCTTTTTCTTTCAGTGAAAGTAAGTTGTACTGTTATGGTGTAGTATCAAGGTTTATCAAAGTGATGAAATGCTATAATTATTCAGAACTGTGTAATCAGTCTTATCCTATTTAGAAAAAGGTTATTGAAGAACTGACCAGGTACTCGTTGCTTTCTTATCAGAAACTATAAAATAGATCTGTTGTTTGAGTTTTGAATAATGGAAATATCTGTACTGACAATATTGAGCCATTGATTCTATTTGGTACTTCAATATCTTTAAATTCCCCAGGTCTCCTTTTCTCAATTTTACTTCCATAGGTTGAATTCAGGCTGAGACTTAACTCATATGGAGCTCAACAAAGGTATTTCTAAAATCTTTTTATTTATTTACTTTTTCCAAATGAAAATAAAAGGTTTTTTATTCACAGAAGGTATTATCTGAGGAAATACATTTTTGACGTGAGCAAACATTGTGCAGCTTACAATTTTTCAAGATACTTTTCAAGCCATTTCCAATCAGCTTTAAAACGAGTTTAAATGGCTGTTAAATGGAATCACAATGAGAGAAGGTGTAATGCAAGTTTTATGTAAAAGACAATACAGAGGAGAAATCACTAATTTTGTTAGAATAAGAACTCTTCATTGCAGTTTCCTTCCTTCAGAGCTCCATTTATTTCTTCTTTTCTCCATGAAAATCAGTTTTTCTTATTCATTATGACTACTCATGTAAGAGCTCAGTGCTTTTCAGCATTGCTGAAAAATTCAGTTTAATGTATCTTCATCTTTACTAATGACATCAGAGAATTTTCAGTACCTGACTTGATGAGAGTTAGTTTCCATGAAAGAAAGCAAAAAAAGTCTGTAATTGTTTCAGTCTAATTAAATTTTCAGTACAAAAATTAGATGACAAAATTAATGCCATTCTTGTCTGATTGTTGTGTCATCATATTCTGGTTATAAAGTGATGCCTACTCAGAGATGCTTAATAAAGTATTAGAACTTTGATTTCATAAGCTATAGATTGCATATCTCTATGAAAATACTAATTTGCTTATATTTTGACAGGGGTTAGTCTACTGTCAAATAAACGAATGCATTGGTAATTTTGTTGTTGTGGCTAGATTAGTAAGCAAATGATAGAGGCAGTAAGAGTTAATATATCCAAGAAAAAACAATTAGGCTTGTGCATCATCGTATTCAGTTGCCAGAGGACTAAACTATGCTTCAAAAATAATTATTGATCACAGAGGATGCTTGAGGCCTGGGTTCCATCCCCATTTCTCAGTTAATGGTTCTATTTAGGTTGGAATCATTAGTTCTCTCTGAACTGATTGTTGTTGTCAGTTGTACTAATTAACTCATATATATGTGGAAGCTCCACAAAGGTTTGTTCAGGATACAGAAGTTAAAGGTACTGAGTCAAGTTTTAGGACTGCTTAAATACTCATATAGATATACATATATTTATATATATGTGTGTGTGTGTGTGTGTGTATACATATGCGTATATATATATATATATATAAATATATGTGTGTGTATATGTGCATTAAATTGAGGTAGTAGGTAATTATTTAGCTTACATTTAGAATATATTCTAAAGCTCCAAAATTTAAAAAAAAAAATAAATCTGTGCAGGCAGATGTGAAATGCTGCTGTTGTGGTATGGCAGGATGCTGGTTGCTTTTGAAGTGCAAATGTCTAAAAAAGGTACAGGCAAACCAGTCCAGAGTTTTTGTCCAGTTGTTAAATATTGGCAATTTGGCTGTAGTGAGGTGTACACAATATAGAGCAAGTTAAATGCTCATCTCAAAGATGGGTGCAGTCTGAGGAACACAGATATTCCTCCTAGCTACCTTGTCTGCCGTGGCTTGTAGTATTTACCGAGAGAACCTTCATTGGACTTCTGTTACCTGCTGAAAAAAACCCCTGCAGTCTTTTTGGCCCTTGCCAAGCTTTTGTTGCAAAGCTTTGGCTGAGTTAATGACAAAGTGTGGAATCTGGGTCTGTGTTTGAATGTTTACATGAAAAGGTTTAAAATCACTCTGCAACTTTCTTTAGATTAAGAAAGCCCAATTAAAAAGTGCAGCATAGTATGAGCAAACTACAGGTATCTGTCATATGCCCATGTACTGACTGCCTGTGCAACCACATACCCATCTTATCATGCTGTATGTGTTTAATTACTCCAATATGTCCAGGTGGTGGAAGTGAAGAATGAGCTCCATACACTCATATCATTATCCATTTTCACACATCCAGTCATTAGAGAAGTACTTCTTATACTGTTCCTTGCAGGCCTAATACAATAATACAAGTCAGTGTTCTAAAAAAATCATAATAGATTCCTTACATGAACGTAATGGAATTGAAGTTCCAATTACTAAATATTCGAATGAGTGGTGGCATCACCCTGCACAGGTGTAAACATGCCTTTTCATTGTCTCTTACTACTTTAGGCCCTGGGCTATCACAGAGGAGGAGAGCTGCACTATTGGTAAAATGAACTCTTATTCATCCTTTTTGTACTTATCATCTTGGCACATCTATTCTCTTCATGCAGCTGCTCAATTAAAACAAGTTTCTCATCATTTTCAGAATTGTCCTTTGACTCCTGAAATCTGCCAGATGCATATTAACCACTTCAGTCAATTATATTAAGTGGTCTGAAAAATTTACAAAATTAATATAGGATGGTCTTTAACACCAAATTCCTTGTGTCCAAAAAGTACCAGTTAAATCCTGAAATACCAAGTTGCAAAAAGAGTAGTTTGGGGGAAAGAAAGACTGGTATGGAATTACATGGTTGCATCTATGCATATGTAGCAATGGAAGTGTATTTGTTAAGCAAATTGAGTGACTATTTGCAAAGATGTGTTTCTATACCGCCTATTTTTTGTTAAAAAATGGAATTTTGTTAAGAAATCTATCATTCATCTGAGTGCTAAAAGAGAACATAGGAAGTGAGGCTTTAGTAGTTTTTATGGCAAGAGCAACACAAAGATAAAATTCTTGCAGTCTGAGCTAGTTCTGTTTGGCCCCAATCTTTCCAGCTCTTCCTTTTTCCTACATGCTTTCCCCAACCTGCTTGTTACTCCTTTTCTTTTCCTCCCTACATAGCATCATATCACTGTTGCTGGGGTGTTCCCTGTAATTTTCCTCCGTATTATGATGTATTAAGGAATTATTAATTTTTTTTTATTTTTACCTCTTTATCCTATGTTGACTAAAATATCATCATCCCCTTTAATTCACATCAGATTCTAAAGACAACTACCACTAGGCTGTCAAGTGCGAGTGAGCAACATTTGAATTTGGCTTTCTATGGATGTGTGAAATACTAGTCCTTTTGAACCTTATACTTCCATGATCTGATTACAGTCTGTTACTCGTAAGAGGAAAATAAGTAAGAAATTTATTGCTGACTTAGGAAGTAGGTCAGGTTTTACACTGACTTACATAACTTAAGTTTAAATATAAATTTGAAGTATTTCTTTCTCACCGTGGTACACCAAATGTATGCTCAACTTGCTAGTTGTCCACTGTCTAAGGCATTAATTGTACATAAGTGTTCTTTCCTAAGTAAACTGCATCATGAAGAGTGAGCCTTGAAAGAATTCATAACTTTTCAGTGTCCATGTGTGAAGGTATTTCAGCTGTCCAGGGATCTGAACATCACACTGACCACATGGACTCATTTTGTGAAGTACAGCATTACCTCGCAATTTGGACCCCCTCTCTATTAACCTTATCCAGTCTCTTGTAAAATGTTCTTTCATTTTTGCTTTTCTCAATTTCACTATTGTCTTTGGTTTTCTTTTTGAAGTGAGTGTTAATGGTCAGAGCCAGGCTAAATAGAAGTTTAGCTTTTAGTGAACTTTTTCACTTATTCTCTGTTAGTGGCTCCTCTTTCTTGACAGACAGTAATTTAAATCCATTTTACACTATGTTACCATCCCTTTCTCTGCAGCAATTATAATTGTATCTTGAAATTTTTGTGTATTAAATCCCTTTCCTTCTTTCTCATAGAGTGGTTCTAAACTACCTCAGACTTTGTTGTGAACAGGTATAAGTTTCGGCTACAGTTTTTAGCCTTTATCGTAATCTTTGAATGTACTTTATGTATATGTGTATGTAGCAAAACCAGCCTGCATTTTCAGGAATACTGTCCCAAGCGAGACATGTAATTGGGATGAATTCACAGCCACACCGGCTGTTCAGGCTCTCGCTGATACCTCTATCATGAAAAGCTTTTCAGGAGGGCAACTTCTGGTATGGAAAGTGCTTCAGCTTTCTCTTTGAAGGGACATGATGCTGCCTGCACTAGATGACTTCCACCTCTCCATTATCATGACAAGCATCATAAAACTGCATCATCAGGCCTCCATCCCTGGCTCCAGGATACATGCTGTTGCACTGGACTGTGTTCATCATATGAGAACAAACCCCACGTGATGGTGTGTTCTCATGACCTTAGTGTCATTTTATACTGCAGCAGATGTGCATTACCAACCCTTTGGGCTATAATTAGGTTTCAGGTAAAATGGTGGTTGCAGATTGTGCTGCAATTGATAACTTTGGGAATTGACTGGTTTTGTAAGTTATCCATTGAACAACCTGACAAACCTTGTTGGTGTTGATTTTCTTTTCACCAGTAGACATGTATATCATCAAACAAGCATTTTTTTGTAACATGGAATTTTCTATGAGCATCCAGAAAAAGAAGCATCCCAATTATTTTCTTAGTAGCAATGTGTGTATTTGTAATGAAAGTTTTAGAATTGTTAAACTGCTGTAAGCTATTTTGTGCATGCTCTGGCATTGTGTGAACAGTTTGTATTAATAGCTGATAAGCAGAGGGCTGTGGCAAACAAGGAAGGCTGGCTGTGGATTTTGCAGTTTCAAAGAGCAGCAGAGTGCCAGAATGGATGCAGGACTAGACTGCTCAAAGCAAATCATAAAGTGAAACTGTTGTGCTTTGTATTTATTTCTTTGGGGATTCTTCTTCAAAGTATTTAACTTGACAGGAAAATATAGAGTATATTTAAAATAGTAACAATTAGAAATACACCTTTTCAAGAATGAGAGAGGTGTGATTTGAAAAATAAAGTGATCTTTTGTGCTTAACTGCTTGTCTGTAGTTTTGTTAACATAATGTTAGAACCTGTCTGATGCTGCTTACATATTGCCTGTGTGAATAGAAGACTTTGGGCAGAACTGTACTGATTTCTCATCACAGCAAGGAAGTTAATAACCTCATCATTGATATATTAACTCATAACGACACAGTCTTAATATCAGCATAGAAAATGGTGGTGATTTTCACTGTGACTTCGAGGTCACTGGGCATCCTCGAAGCTACTGCAAATGTTTGGACCAACAGGTGCCGGGTGTTGCTACCAGGATGTGCTGCTACACTCTCTGGATGAAGTGTATGAATGGGTATTTCAATATATTTCACAAAAAAAGTGGACAAATGTTGCACTATATTAAGAACTGTGAGAAGCACAACACTGACTCCCTTAGCTGCATTGTCCAAGAGAGCAAAGTTTATTATTCTTGATCTTCTTTTATAGACAGGTTTGAGAAGGTCCAAGAGGTAAAACTCTCATTGGTCATTAAAGCAACACATCACCATCATTGGTTAAGTGGAGCACCACCCCTTGACTGTTTCCTAAACAACACCTGCAGAGATTGTTGTCCTTCACCAAGGACTGTTTGGATTCTTTCTCATTCTTTCTCAGGTCAGAGTGAGAAGCCTGTGTGTCTTAGTTTCACACAGGCTCTGTTCCTTTCTTGCTTTTTGCATTTAGCATCCACATCTCCCCTCTTTTCTTTTAGGGCAGAAAGGCAGTGTTTGTAGTCTACTGCCAGGCCCTTGCAGGAAAGAGAATAAACACAGCATCAGAGGTTCCTTTAGTAACTTCTTGATTACCAAATGGAACCTTAATTGGACACTGACTTAGAATGGTCAGGGAGATTCTCTGGCACATTCTATTGAATATTTCTTGCATTACCATTAAGTCTTGTTTCTTCTTGCAAGGAGTCAATTAAACCTGGTAAATTGGAGTGACTCTGAATGTGTACAAAAATTTTCAATAATCAGATTCATCTTTGTAGGTATTGTGAAAAACGAGGTTCACATAATTTTTATAGAATTTAAAAGTTTAATAAAAAAAAACAATTAGGAGAAAAAGTATACAGATATGGCTGGGTGTCTCTGCATTCAGCTAAGAGAGCACACTTACTAACAAAGGATTGTCCCTTAAAAACAGAATCCTACTACATATCCAAAAATTCTCATACATATTCATACATTCTTCTTAGGATCTTTGGTGTTCTTCTGTTTAGTTTTCACTTGCCCCCTTCCCAATAGATCAATCCTCTTGGCGCCATTGAGATTTACATTCTCTGATAGCAGAAATGCAATAAATTCCTCCCCCAGAGTTCTGGTCACTGCTGTCTTCATCTGGGTAAGATAGTTTACAAGTGCAGGAGTCTCTAGCTATTTTTTTTTTTCTCAGTCTTTGGGTTATACAAACAAAAGCAGCTTTTATTTTAATACTATGCCATAGCCTAACATATATGTATTATACCACTATTTCTAAATTTCATCAATAACAGAAATAAAGAAGACTATATTAATACAACAAAATTTCTCATTCTTATACACATAACATTCATTTTAATATTTGCGAAAAGCCAACAATATAAAATGTATCTATAACAGGTATCAATAGCTTTTCTTGTTTTTCTGAGCCGTCAGAGAGTGGTCTTTGCACTGGCATCCAGCTATTTTTGGTTTCAATGACAAATTAGTTGGCTTTTTTTTTGTTTTGTTTTGTTTTTTGGGGGGGGGGGGGGGGGGGTGTGGTC